GAGGACAAAATATAATATCGAATAGAGTATTTTCAGATTTGTGTATCATTGACCAAGACTTATTTTCACTATGACAACCCTGTACAGTAGTCCAACCTTATCCAAGGTTTTGCTTTCCACGGTTTCAGTTACCATGGTCAGCAGCAGTCCAAAAAAATTAAATGTAAAACCCCAGAAATAAACAATTTTTAAGTTTTAAATTGCACAGTTCTGAGCAGCGTGATGAAACCCCAAGCTGTCCTGCTCCATTCCACCTGGCTAGGATTCATCCCTTTGCCCAGTGTCGTGGTGCTGTCCATGCTACCGGCCCACCAGTCACTTAGTAGCCTAGGTTATCAGATTGACTGTCGCAGTATCGAAGTGCTTGTGTTCAAGTGACCCTTATTTTACTTCATAATGGCCCCAAAGTGCAAGAGTAGTGATGCTGACAATTGAGATATTCCACAGAGAAGCCATAAAGTGCTTCCTTTAAGTGGAAAGGTATGTATGTGTAGGAAAACACAGCATATACAGGGTTCATTACTATCCATGATTTCAGACATCCACTGGGGATCTTAGAACAAATCCTCTGTGAATAAGGGGGGACTACTGTATTTTTAAAATGCTGATCACTGAGGTTAAATATTGCAGTCGGCATATACACACACTATATATATATATATATGCATACATGGTACAATAATGCATACACAATGTGTATGCAACACTTATTAATTGGGGTATAAATTAGTATATGTAATAGCAGCAAGGTACCACTGTCTCTAGAATATATACTAAGATTTATCATATTGATATTATAGATTCATGACTAAAGTGTTATTAGTGCTATAAACTAATAACAAATGTAAAACTGCACATGTACAAAGCTACCAAAGGCCTATTTGACTTTTCAAAGTGCTGTGCTTCTTGTTGGGCTCAATGAAGTATCTGCCCCAAGTTCTGGGCTCCAGTTAGGGACAGTTCTAATGGCGGGGGGGGGGGGGGAACAGGAGGGGCTCTGAATAATGCATTTGAGAAGAGTAAGGTGCAAAAACCACTATGATAAGGGTGTGTTTGGACATTGTTGAATGCATGTGCCTTTCACTGTACATTTTGCCGGCATCCTGTGATCCACAGTAATCAGCAGACAACAGAGGATGGCCAGGAGACCAGAGGAGAAAGCGGTATTCTATGAAGGAGATGAGTGGGAATGAGATGGAAAATGTCTCTCAACCATCAGGAGGGTTGCCTCAATAGACTATGGGATTGAATTCCCAGTGAAGAGAAGAAAAATATTTCATTCAAACTATGTGGCTTAGAAATGAATTTAAAAAGTCCTAAGAATAAGTTTTGTTGGAGAAAAGACCAGAACACTACATCCCCTGCAGGGTGGAAGGAGTTATCTTAGTGTTTTCAGGGTCTAAGAGTTGGCATTTCAACATCAATAGCGTTGTGTCCTGGGTTCTCTGGGTTAGGGCCAAGTCAGCGCTGTAGCGACCTTAGTGTCACTCTTCCTGGCAGGAGGCTGGGGAATCTCTGGGCAGTAGAGAGCTGTTCAGCATCTTTAGGAATTAAAGGTCAAGTTTCCAGCCAAATCACTTTTTCACTCAACCAATTCACTCCTGAGTGGGGAGCAGTCTGAGGCAGAGGGCCGAGATGTACTGGAAAGTCAGTGGAATCTGGAGGGGCCACCATGCTCTGTGCCATACACATCAAACTTCTTGTCAGTTTGGAGTTTGATGTGACCAATTTCTATTCATCTCCTCTTGTTATGACTACTTGGTGTGTATTTGAGAAAGCCCATCTCTCAGGAGCTCACATACACATCAGCAGATTCCTTTCAGCCCAACTCATCTTATTATTCATGTCACTAAAGGTGCTGCTGTTAGACAACTTGATCCAACACAGCGCCTTTGAGAAATGAACCTAGGTAGTGTTTCTCCACATAAGCCACATGAGGACGAATCACAACTTATACACCACTTAATATATGGCATTAAAGCTCGTCATTAGAGACCTGATATTTTGGGGAGCTGCTCGACCAAGGTTTGCAAAACAGCACTCAAGTAGCAGACGGCATCTGTATTCCAGATGAAAGAACCAAGGCAGATGTAGTGCAGGCTCACTTCCTTGCTCAGCCCGGAGAGGGGGCCGTGTGGCTGTGTCTCGTTCTTTAGCCCATTCTGTTTCCTAGAACCTAACAGTAAACATCTGCCGTCAGCCAATAAAGAACATTACAAAACTTCAACTGTGGCAGGAACTAATTCTGCCAGATGGTCTGGATGTGTGTAGCCCTTCTGCTTCCCAGGGAAACAGGTGGTTCCACTTCAGTTTTCATCCTTCTGTGTCTCCACCTTTAGCCTTGTACTAAGCCTTCTTGCTGGGTTGCAACAATGTGTCGATGGGGAGCACTTTTTTATGGTAAGATTCAGAAAGACAGAGACAGAAAATCCTGTCTCAGCACAAAACTGCATTTAATTCCAGAACGCTCTACCACACTGTGAAGATGAGGTTGTGCAAGAACTAGGATTCTGAAGAGCGATCACTACCCAGGCCCAGATCTTGTGCTTTTCTTTGAGTTTATATAAAATTCTGCTTTTACACTGTAACGTAATGATTCTCAAGAATACAGGGGTCTGGACTCAGCACTAAGGAAAGTATGTAAATTTAATTACCAGAGCATCTGATGTAGCAAGTAGATAATCTTTTTTGGCATGACCCTTTTAGATCTGCCATTCATTTAAATTTTTAATCCTCAATAATTTATCATGTTACCTGGTTTATCTTGAATTCTCTCTCTAATCCTAAGAATATCTCTGTACCCATGAAACCACAGTGGTATGTACCTCTAACAGGCTCCAAGTTCAAGCCTTTCAACACTGCTCTAATGTAACAGAAACCTTTAATGGTCCCCTCTATCATGAAGCCACGGAAACGTGGCCACATGGCCAGTGGTCCAGGGAGCTCATAAAATATTCATTCTACTTTTCAAAATAACTATGGCCCTGAATCCTAAAATCTCCTTTGGATCAATTAAGTAGCTTTTAAGTTGATCTTGAAGTTAATTCTGAGCAAATATGATAACCTTGTTTGGTCTGAAAGGTCCCCAGAACTTGTGAGAATAAGTGATATGCTTGGGCCTGGCCGGTGTGGCTCAGTGGTCAGAGCATCGGCCTGCGGGCTAAAGAGTCTGGGGTTTGATTCCCGGTCAAGGACACGTGCCTTGGTTTTGGGTTTAATCCCCAGCCCCAGTTGGGGTCATGTAAGAGGCAACCAATCAATGGGTCTCTCTCACATTGGCGTTTCTCTCTCTCTCTCTCTCCCTCTCCCACTCTACCTGAAAAAATCAATAGAAAAATATCCTTGGGTGAGGATTAAAAAAACAAAGTAATATGCTTGGGTCACCATTTTTATTGTTGGCAGTTGCAGAATGAGTCACAGAACCAAAGCCTGTTTTCCATCTGGCCTGTCACTGAGTCTCCTGCTTGGCCTTCGGTCAAGGAGCAAGTGCACGCATCCCTCATAATAGGTCGAGCCACTCTTTCTCGGGCAGACATTTTGCTAATTCAAGGGTGTTTATCAAAGGTAAACTGTAAATAATCCTCCTATCTCCCAGAACTCCTGCACAGAATTAAAAAATGCAAGCCAGGCTGGCGACCCGCAGCCCGAAGGAGCAAGTGCCTGCACTCGGCACAGCGGGCAGGCTCCAAGCACATGACCTCGCTACCACCGCCTGCGCTTTTCGTCATGCTCCATGTCTTCTCTGATCATGCAAACACTGAGGTGCACTTAAAAGGTACAACCCAAGTGCAACTATATATTTTAAAATAAAGGAAAAAAATCAAGTAAACATTTCACTGAACAGTCAGCAGCCCTTGGGTGTCACTGGTGTCCTGTGTAGGCACCTGTCACACACCTGGCCTCATAGCACCAAGCACCTGGACAAAGCTGAGGCTCAAATAAAACAGAGAAGAATACTTCTCCTCTTGCCTCCTTGTCTCTTTGCCAAGTATCAAAGGGTTAAGAGGGGAACTGATTTAGTCCCTAACAATTGACCATGAATTAAAAAAAAGACTAAAATAAAACAACACAACAAATAAAACCCTGAGGGTAAGCCAGGGATTTCAGAGCTTGTCACTGGAGTTTAGTATCAGAACTGAAGGGAAATTGAGACGGTGAGGACTCCTTTCCATAAAAGGCCCTAAAGAATTTGACAAAGTCCCAGAAACCTCTTTGGAGAGAAGCTCAAAAGCAAGAAAAGGAAAAGTTAGTGCCCAGAGGCATTTGTGTTGTGACCTCCTCAAGCTGTGGAAGTTAAAGGTCAGGGCTTAAATCCCTTTCCCGAGAGCACAGGCTGGAAGACCAAAAGTTGGAGGTGTGCGTGTGCTTTTGGTAGCAAATCCAGGACACTCCCCACCGCGGGCAGCATGCAAATCCAGCAACAAGCATCAAAACGTGGAAATGGGGAGCTGCTGGGAGGTGGTCCAACGGTCTTTATACATGTACACATCCACCCAGGATTCCATGTTTATCTTTCCTCCTTAAGAATCCAGAAGCTGCCACTTCCTTAGGGATTCTTGAGCAGTTCTTAGGAGCATCAAAGCGCACACATTCCCATGCCCAGTTTTCCTTCTAGCTGGTTCCTTTCAACCCTCTTTTGGAGGGTCTTCCTCAAGAACTCAGAGTTATTCACGACCCAGTTCATCTTCTGCACCAGTGCGTGGCTTGGGAGTGGCTTCTCAGACCTGGACCACACCGACCCGTGAACCCTGCTCGCCCTCGTGACAGAGGGAGCGGGACATATACAGTAGAGTTGCAGGTCACTCACAGTCCTGAGATGCATGGTCCCGCTAAGGAGGAAGACCATGGCAGCATCGGGCCTGGGTGAAAAAGTTCAGGAAGCTCCTTAGTGAGTGCTCTTGAGGTAAGAAGCACTGAAGATACTTAATCTATAAATAAATAAGTAAATAAATAAATAAATAAAACACAAGAGGGCTCATTATAGAGAAGTACCTCTTATCAATTAAAAAAAAAAAGTCCCCTTGTGAGTTTCAAAGCCCTCATGCCATGGTGATTACAAGGCTTAGAACAAGGAAGACAAACTAGAAATGTTCCAACACTGGGTAGTTCTCACTTGATGACATCCAAGTCATCCTATGTGTCCCCGAGGTAGTCTTGTTTTCAAGGAATTACAGAATGGCTCCAAACCCACTTGGCGCGTCCTCCTTAAATCCATTGCACTTGCCCAGGCGTCTTGTGTCTGCCTCCACGGTGTCAGACAAGCTACCTTCTGTGAGCGGTGTGGCCCACGTCACAGACCCGAGTCCAAGGCAGACAACAAAGAAATGCAATTCCAAGATCCGGCTTGAAGATCCCACTCCAAAGAGGACTTTGCCAAAATGATGCAGGTGCTTCCCTGGCAGCCATTTTGGGAAAAGCTACAGAATTAAATTAAAAACACATCTGGCGTGCAACCAACATGTGTGTCTATCTGTTGCTGGGCCCCACGATGAAAAGATCCCCCATCTTTGTTCCTTTCACTTTTAGGAAGGGGCCAAAAGAGAGAGAAAGGAATCGATGCTTTAAACTGGGAAGCGCATTTCTGACACCAAGGGCCGGATGCACTCTTTATCTAAAGAGGGAAGCTGACCAGTTACCACACACAAACTATGCAAGAACAGCTTGTGGCTGAAATTCCTTGGAGATACACTCTTGCTCTCTCGGGAGAAGTGGTGACATTCAACATGTCTAGAGAGAACTGGCACTTGGCCCTTTCTCCCCTCAAAGGCCAAGCTTGATGATGGAGCCACCCCACAGGGCAGTCTACACCTGCAACAAGCCATTCTTTTGACCAGGAATGATTTTCTGGTTTAATTTTCTCACCAACTCAAACACAACATCCTGGAAGACAATGGGGAACTAGGCCTAGTAAGGGGACACTCAATACCCCAATGGATCTTGGAGACTCCATTTCCATATTACATTCAACATCATAAGCCACTGAGACATCCTGGCCTTGATCTCTTGAAACATGCTTTCTTCCCTTGGACTTCAGTTTTTCAAAAGTTTCATTGGGAAAATGCCATTAAAAGGTCTGTAATTTTATCCAAATGGCCCTGTGAGGAGGGGGAAATGTAAAAACACCCCCCTTCTTACTGCTCAATTCACCATCACTGCCCAGGGGCCACCCTAACAGAAAACCCTTCAGAACTCTAGCCTGGATCCACAAATTCAACATTAAGATAAATAAAAATTTAAATCAGCATTTAGCCAAAGCTCTATCCTCCTGCAGGAGGTCATTCAGGTCGATGACAGTTGTGGCGAAGTCCACCAGGTCCACGAAGTCGGACGTGATGATGTTGACACCCCTGGCTCCAGGCCTCTGTGTTCTCACCCAGTCCAGGATGGCAGGGAGATTCCTACACGGAGGGCAGTGTTGGGGGTGGGGGTGGGGAGAGAGAGTGGAGTTTAGAAGGGCTCCTCCAGAAATAGAAACAAAACATTTCCCTTCATATATCAAGAGTATGTCAATAAAAGCTTGAGTACCCAGCAGCTTGTCCATTTAAGCTTCATCTCTCTCTCAGGGACAAAGCGGCGTCTATTCCACCAGACTTGTACTTTCAGGGTTCTGTCCTGGAAGAGGCGCTTGCTTACCCCAAAGAGAGCCATGAGAACAGGATCTTAAAAACTAGTATCAAAAACCTACTTACTAATAGGTTCTTTAATTTTTATCCTAAAATTTTTTATCATAAAAATTTTCAAACATATTGTAACATGAAAAGAAATTTACAGTAAATTTATCCACCATGTTAAAAAAAAAGGTTTTAAAAGTAAGATTGTAGCCCTGGCCAGTTTGGCTCAGCGGTTAGAGCGTCGGCCTGCGGTCTGGAGAGACCCGGGTTCGGTTCCCGCTAAGGGCACGTACTTCGGTTGCAGTTTGTCCCCGGCCCTGGTTGGTCGTGCGGGTGGCAGCCACTCGATGTGTCCCTTCACGTCGATGTTTCTCTCTCTCTCTCCCTTCCTCTCTCTCCCTCCCACTCTATCTGTACAAAAAGTGGAAAAATATCCTCGGGTGAGGATAACAAAAAAAAAAAAAAAGTAAGATTGGACTATAAATATATCCACTAGGCAAAAAAAAAAAAAAAAGTTTTAAAAGTAACATCGTACTATACTTGCTTATCACACATCTATCCATCAATCTGTCACTCTGTTCTTCCATCAATCTATCTTATATTTTTGACAAATTCCATGTGCAAACACATATGCATCCCCTAAACACTTCAGTATGCATATTATTAACTAGGGTTCCATATTTGTTTTCAAGTTTTCTTTTGACATTCAAGTTTATGTCCAGTAAAGTGCACAAGACTTAAGTGTATACCAGTTGAGTTTTGACAAATGTATACACGTAACCTATACCCATATCAAGGTATAAAATCTTATCAGCACCCAAGAAAGTTTACGCATGCACCTTCCCCTTCAATTCCTGCCCATATCCTCCCAGAGGCAACAATTACACTGTTGTTGTTTTTTCTACCACAGATTGCCTGTTCTAGAACTTCATATAAGCCATGAAATACATATTCTTGTGTGTGAGGTTTTTTCATTCAGCAAATGGTTTTGCAACTCACCCATGTTGTTGCATGCACTAGTACCTTATTCTTTTTTTAAAAATAGCTGCATAGTATCCCATGGTCTGACTGTACTGTAGTTTGTTTACCCATTATCCCATTGATAAACACAGTGCTTCTAGTTTTAGGATATTATGAATAAAACTTTTATACGTCTTCTTATACAGGTCTTTTAGTGGACATTTATTTTCACTTCTCTTGGGTAAATAACAAGGAGTGAAACGGCTCTATCGTATGGTAGGTTTACATTTATGTTTATAAGAAACTTCCAGATCTTTTCCCAAAGAGGTTGTTCCATTGTACATTCCCATCAACAAGGTATGAGAGTTCTGGTTGCTTTCCATTCTCTCCCAAATCTGATTCTATCAGTCTTTTTTAACTTTTCCATTTTAGTGGGTGTGTAAAGATAGCTCATAATGTTTTAACTTGCATTTTTCTGACAACCTCCGATGTTGAGCTGCTCGTCATGTATTTATTGGCTATTTGCACATCTTCTGTCCAATTATTTTACTTTCTTTTTTCTTTTAGTTAAATTGTAAAGTTATTTATATATTCTGGATACTAGTCTTTTGTCAGATATACTTTTTGATATTATATCTCTGCCTGAGATTGCTATGAATTTTTTCATGAAAATATTTCGGTGAGCTGAATTCCTTCAGGTTGATGAAGTCTAACATTTTTTAAATGGTTTCTGTGACCAGCCTTAGAAACTTCTGCCTATTCCCAAGTCTCAAAGATATTTTCCTGTTTTCTTATTTTTACTTTATGCTTTTGGCGTTATGTTTAGATCTAAGATCTGTCTCAGGTTAACGTTCATATATGGTATGGACAGGGGTCAAGATTCGCATATACAGGTGTTCATTCCAGCAGTACGTGTGGCTTCTTAATAGACAAATGCTTACTCAGTTGTCTCACAAACAGTCCATCAGTCTCATTTTATATTTTGAGGGTTTTCTATGTGATAGTCAGAATGTTTTGCCAAAGAAGCTCATAATTTAGTGACATACATGATGACACTTTAATGAGATGCTTTCTATATAACTAGTAAGAATAAAACACCACGGGGAGGGGGGGGGGGCCCTCGTAGTCCTGCATCACGGTAAAAACAGCACAATAAACGCTTGATGAGTTGAGAAGGCTTTAAGGAAGACACAAACTAGGACTTATATTTTGGTTAAGGGAGATTTTTTTTATTATTAATTTATTTTTGTTACAGATGTTTCTCCTTTTTTCCCCACTGACACCCAAGGGAGATTTTTTAAAGGAGGGATTTGCTCTACACTAAAATTAAAAGTAAGTGAGGTTTATTATCTTAACAGGCCCCTTTCTCTTGCGTGGGGACACTCTGCTGGGCCGTCATCGCCTGGGCTGCCCCTCGAGCTGCCCTGCCCCCCTGAGCACACATCTCCGGCCTCTCCCGGCCTCTCGCTCTCCGCCGGGCAGACCCTGCCAAGGCCGTGGGAGCCTGTTAGCCCCTCCTCTCTCTTTCCTCCTGTCTTGACAGCTATGAGCCATCCCAGGTCTCTTCCCTCACTCTGTGGACTCTATAATCGGCTGTGGGCTAAAACGCATCTCATAAATTTATTTACAGTTTATATTTATAGCTGATTATAATTTAACTGACCATCATCATGGGGGTACTTCCATTTTTAACTGGGACTCCCGACAATATAATAACTCAATTTGACCTTCACTTATTCAACTTCTCTGTGTCTCAGTTTCTTCTCCTGTGAAATGACAATAATAATACCTACTTCATATAGTTTTGGGAATTAAATACATGTACAGTGCTTAGAATTGTGTGGGGTATGTAGTAAGTATTATATAAGTGTTTGGCACGAGAAAGAATCATAAACGGTAGAGTGTGAGGTAGAGGCATTTGGGGGTCAGGGGTAAGGACATTTCCTGGTCAAATTGAGTTATTATATTGTCGGGAGTCCCAGTTAAAAATGGAAGTACCCCCATGATGATGGTCAGTTAAATTATAATCAGCTATAAATATAAACTGCTGCCCAGGTGGCAAAGTGTTGTGGCCTGAGAGCCAAGGGCCCCAAACATACTCTGCTCTTAGCCATAGAGGCCTGGAATGCACAGTGGTTCACAGGAAGGCTACTGCAGTACTGACCATCCAAGCCTTTAAGTTGCTAGTCCATGTTTAAGTGTGAGACGCAGGTGCCATCTTCTGGTCACTTGGGGAAATGAGAATTCAAGGCTCGTTGGGAACCCCAACTGACCCCAGCAGAACCAAACCTCAGGGGATCTGGGGAGCCTGGGCAGAGAAACATGGGAAAGGCATGCACTTGCTGTCTCAGGTGACAGAGCTCTGTGTCAGCTTCGGGTTGCATGTGTCCACCAAGGCAAGGATCAAATCATCAGGATTATGTACAAAGAAAGGGAACTGTAGAACCCATGGTGAGGAGGAGCTGCTTTCTTTTCTTCACTCCTGACATTTACCAGGATGAGAGAGGAGTGGAGAAGGCTGAGCCAGGTACTGCTGACAGACGGGGGGGAAGGGGGGAGGAGGGGGAGGGCATGGCTGCGGAGCAGTAGGTTAGGAATGGCCCTTGGACTCTGAGGCCCACTCCACCAAGTTTTGGGGTTTCCTCAGACAGGGATGGCATACCTATTTTGTGCCAGGTACTGTAGTTGGCATCTTCATGTTAAGACTCTACAATCTTGTATGGTATTATTAATCCCATTTAACTGGTGAGAAAACCTCAGGGAACCAAAGCTGCCCTGTTGTTAAGGGACTGCATTAGTTTGCTCAGCTGCCTTAAGAAAATGCCACAGATGGGGTGGCTTAAACAACTGAATTTATTTTCTCACAGTCTGCAGGCTGGAAGTCCAAGGTCAAGGGCCAGCAGGTTTTATTTCTCCTGAGGCCTCTCTCCTAGAAGATGACCACCTTACCCATGTCCTCACATGGTCTCTCCTCCGTGCACACCCATCCCTGATGTCTCTGTGTCTGAATTTCCTCTTCTCGTAAGAACACCAGTCAGACTGGATCAGGTCCTACCCTAACTGGCCTCATTTTAACTTACTCATCTCTTTAAAGGCTTATCTCCAGATACAGTCACATCATAGCTACTGGGGATTAGGGCTTCAACACATGAATTTTCAGGGAGCACGATCCAGTGCACACAGGGACCACGTCAGCCGTGAACCTCAGGGCTCTGATTTCAGTCGTGTCCCCTTCCACAGTCCCACGGCTGCCCTGTCCTCAGGCTTCGGCAAAACTTCCTTTCATTTTATTTTGGTGGGGAAACTATCATAGAAATCAGCCAGAATTCTATTCAGAGTCTCCTTTTAGAGTAATGAACCAAGGAGAACAAGATCTCAGGTCTGAAATCCACTTAAGAGTGGGGGTGGCTAACTCTGCTGAGAAAGCCACCTCGACATCTGCAGGATAATATACCGTATCCTTTTTCTCCTGGCTAAGCTGATAACTCCAGCACCTAGGACCAGCTTGACAGTTCCCCTCTGTGCCCGGTTAGGACAGAATTTCCGGGGCTGGCACTCAGGGGAAGACTCCAGGTTTACTGCTTCTTTCCCCTGCTCGTTCAACAGGTGGTGCTGGTGTTAAGGAACAAATGCTTGACCACAGCAGAATTTCTTCCTTCAGTTGATGTGGGGCCTAGGAGGGCAGGATGCATCTCGGCAACATTCTTGTGACCGGCTGGAGTCGAGATACCCAAGTATCTCTGAGTCTTGGAGACATCTGCTTGCTACCCGTGGGCGAGGGCTCCGGCTGCCAGGATGCCTTGGCTGTCGGTGCGGGCCACCACCGTTAGCACTAAGTCAAAGAGCCTCCAACTCCTGGGCAGCCAGACTAAAATTCTTAGGAATTTTCAAGTATGAAAAGCGTCCTGACTTTGTGGGTTCACAGTTGTAACCAGTAAGATCTGACCAGACTTAGATACTAGTAAGACAGTTACAAGCCAGTGGAGCCGAAAGAAACAGGACCCTTCAACATCGATATCAAGTCAGTGCTGAATGCCGAAAAGGGCTGCAGTCCGACCCTCAGCAGTCCAGGGCTGAGACACTGCGGGCTCTTCCCAGTGACGTGGGCCTGGGCCACCGAACCTCACTGAGACCCATCTGAACCGGAAACAGGAATGTGCTCAGACATGTGCCCTCCTGTAGGCGGGCTTCACTTAATAATGAAAGGAAATTGTCTGCAAGAGGGTACTGCCTATTCCGAATACAGTACACAAATACAACTTGTCCTTGTTTTTAAATATGCCCTCTCCTTTATCAGTACGGCTCTCAGCCCAGAATTTTATGATAGTGATTTTCATATTGTTTTAGAGAAATTGGTATGTTTACTTTTCCTGATAGACTGTGAGTTCCATGAGGGCAGAAACTATACCAGTCACCTGGTATCTATGGACCTAGCCAGTTAGGGTCACTTGGCCCTTTGGCCAGTTAATGCAGGTCACTTCAAATACACAGCTTTTTCAAACAAGATATTTTGTGTTGATGTATTTTTTAAAATGTAATTAATTATTTTTTTTAGAGAGAGAGGAAGGAGAGGGAAAGAGAGATAGAAACATCAATGAGAGAGAACATTGATTGGCCTCCTCCTGCATGCCCCCACTGGGGATTCTGTCCACAGCCAGGGCATGTGCCCTGACCGGGAATTGAACCAGCAATCTCGTGGTACATGGGTCGATGCTCAACCACTGAAACACACTGGCCGGGCATGTGTTGCTGTATAATCTCCAAACTATATGGTTTTACTGCTGTTTACTCAGAAGAGAATCAAGATATATTTTTTAAAAACAACTTTACTTTGGGGATGGAAGCAAATTCTTACCTGTGAACCAGAGTGTTCTTGAGGCCACCGACCAGGCCTCGGGCGATGGTCTTGGCTCTGGGGGTGAGAATCGCCTGAGAGACGTGGAAGGCGCCGTGCGGGGCCCGCTCACTCAGCGTGGTCTCCAGGAAGAGGATCAGTTTGCGCACGCTCGTCGTGTTTGCCCAGGGCGCAGGGATCTTCTTTCCGGGCCACAGGAAAGGGTATTGCTTGTAGAAGGGGCAGTGATAGAAAATAAGAACCTGGAATGTTCAAAACAGAAAAAGGAGAGCAATGAATTAAAAAAACGGAATGTCAACTGCCTGGCTTGACGCTGTTCGCCAGGAGGAAAGGCAAACAAATACAAACGGTGAAAGTTCAGGAAATGTGACGTCTGTTTTTAGAAAAATCAGTAAGTAAGGATTTAAGCGTTTGTATAAGTCTGCTTTGAATTTTCTTAACTTTGTTTTTGTCAGTATTTTGAAAGTATGGTAAAATCCTGAACTCCTTCTCAGACTATGATTTAAATGAATGCATAAAATGAAATAGACAGGATTACAAAAGAAATCAATGAGATGGAAAGAGAGCTATACATATATTAATTGAATTTGTAATAAATGTACGTGTTTCATAATAAATAAGTAAAAATATTTTGTGGTAAGTACATGTCCATAATTTTGAAATACTGATGAGTATAAATGATATGTCAAGATATCACTTATGTGCAGTAACTAATATGTTGTATGGAAATACGTGTGATTTCCATAGGAACCAAGTCACAGGTAGGGGCCAATACTTCTGAGGGTGACCGTCTGTACTCAGCATCTATGCGTATATAATTTTCAGTTCAAGGCTAGTGAGAATAAATATGTAGTTTTTTCCATCCAAATTCACAGACTTCTTACATTCTTTAGACCCCAAGTGGAGAACCCCCGAGGCTACAAGTTATGACTCAGATGGTCACAAAATCAACACGGAGCTCTTGGAGTTGAGATCAGCAGATTGAACTAATTTGGGAGCACACAGATTTCCAACTGTGCATGCTGACTCTAAATGAAATAACCCTTCCCTGAGGGAGAGGAGCCACTCAAGGCAGGGAAGACTTCCAGGAGGCGATGGGTCTCCGGTGAGACCTCTCAGGATGGCAGTGGTTCTGAAAATAATTAGCAAGCCACAGCCATAGCATTAATTAGTTTCTGAGGGGCAGGTGAGGGACAGGGAATTGCTATTTCGGCTGTCCCAATTCAGAGCTCTGCAGCTCAGGTTTCTGGAGGTAATGAGTTCCCCCCTCGGGGCACCAGTGATCTCCACCTGGAGGAATGTGAGCATGCTGTCGCACTCCCCGACTGTGTGATCCTGCAGGCCCCCAAGGGCTCTGAGTGTGTCTGTTTCCAGTGCTCCTTTGGCTCGTAGCTATGGAGCCTGACTAACTGCTCCTGAAGGCCTAGCAGTTGGGAGCGCCAGGCTCGAAGCCCGGAACAGGCTGGCAGTCGTTCTTGTTTTTAATGGTTTTGAGTCATGTCTGACTGACTGCTAATGATGTCTGTGGTAAACACGTGTGCTAATGAGGTTAATCACAGGCTCACTGTAAGCAGATTGGGAGATTGGAGAGGACTTCCTGCTGACGATGTAAGGCTGGTTTGGAAGGCTGGGGTCTCCAGCGTCCGTCCCTGAGTGAGGAAAGCTGGCCTGTGGAACAGACTATGGGAGAAGCAGGAGGCTGTGGGAACCTTGGACAGGGCCCTTCGGACCACGGCCGTGTGGCCTGCCTCTGGGAAGTGTCAGGGGATGGCACCAGAAAAAGATGCAAAAAGCACACACTGTAGCCCTGGCCGGTTTGGCTCAGTGGTTAGAGCATCGGCCCGCGGACTGGAGAGTTCCGGGTTCGGTTCCCGTAAGGGCATGGACCTTGGTTGCAGTTTGTCCCCAGCCCTGTTTGGGGTCATGTGGGTGGCAACCACTCGATGTGTCTCTCTCTCACATTGATGTTTCTCTCTCTCTCTCCCACCCTTTCTCCCTCCGGCTCTATCTGAAGATAAATGCAAAAAGTGTCTTCGGGTGAGGATAAAAAAAAAAAAGCACACATTGTACAAAAGGGATTTCATGCCTTCCCTCAAGCCTTCTTGAACACTTTGATCCTAAAGGTTCCAGGGAGAATTTCTATTTACAGCAGGAGGTTGGCCTAGCAACCCAACTCTCATCCTACAGAGCTCCAGGCGGGTGCTCTGCCAGGTCCTGTCTGCCTCCTCACCCCACTCTGCTGCGTCTTTCTCTGGGGTGCTCTCCCCTCCAGCTCAGCAGTTTATGTTCAGTTTCCCTCTTGAGACTCAGGTGTCAAATCTGATTTTCTTGGAGAATTATTCCTTCACTGACCTCCTCTTACTCTGATTGGTTCTTTCCGGGACCCCTGGGATGTATATTTATAGATGTACTATTTTCCAATTGATTGATTACAAAAACCTCTTTCTTCGTATAGTACGTTTGAGGTGGCTTTATCTTGCAATTGAATATTGGTTGTTTTGTATTTTGCTAGTGTTATGTATTCTTACCTTCTCAGTAAGATTCTAAATACTGCCAATCTGTAGGTTAAATTGTTTAATTCATTGTACCCGGAAAACCCATAGCCACTAATGTACAGTGTATATCTGTGAGCTGCGATGGAATTGCATGTTGAATAAATGAAATGTGACTGGTGATACACTTCTTGCTATTACATTGTAGTGATGACATGCCAGGGGCTCACATGCAAGGCAGCTCATTACACAATGAATACTTCAAGGCTAAGCAGCAGCAGGGCTCTGATCCAGTGGGGCGAGGACTGGTGACTCTGCTCTCTCCTTGTTTAGCTTTTAAGAAGAGACCTGTCAGGGAAAACTCTGGGAAAGGAAGGGGGACAGTGAGAGCCTAGGATTTAAATTGATGACACTCTCCATTTTTCTGAGGGTCTTTATACTTTTAAGCATATCTGTAGTTGGATGATACATATTAACTCTGGTGGATCATCACTGTGCTGTTAGAAAGTCACTCTCCACACTATTCATTATTCCTGAAGACACCTGTTGTTCTTACCGGTTTCTAAACGATTCAGTATGCAGTATGGCAACCCATCCAGAATACTGTCTGTGTTTGAAATGATAGAATTATGTTTATAACAGATGTCTGTTTATAAACTTAGCTGTGCTCAAATTTAACCTTACCTGAATCCCTGGACTCAAAGGCCCATTTTCCCCCTTTCTCCCATTCTGCTAACCCTCTAGATGCCCTGATAATAGGGGCTCATGATCTATGGCACTAGTTGTGAAAATCAGCGAGGTGTGTGAACAGCTCTGGGAGCCAAGTAGCCTGTGGAGTCCTGCTCCGCCGGTCACTAACAGTGTTCCCCTGGACGGCTTGCTCAGTCTCTCTAGGCCTCAGTTCTCTCATCTGCCAAGAGAGAAGAATGCCTACCTCACAGTGTAGTTGAAAGGACTGAATGAGTTAATCCATGCACTTAGCACACTATAAAGGCTTGCTAAATGTTAGCTGTTGTTGCTGCTACTATTATTTAATATTGTAAAGAGAGAGACTCTACTGGAGTAAAAAAATCTCTCCAGATGAGACTTGTGAGTCTAAATAGATATAAACACAGGTTTGAAGGAAGCAGTGTGACAAATATTTGGCAAACCATCAGCTACAAATGTTTTTGTGAGAAAAAATAGCTTAGATCAATTTTAACAGAAACTAAGACTTAATTCAATAGCCTCCATGGAGTCTAAGGCCTTAAGCACTTTAATGAGTGTGCAAAACAGCCTGGTGTTTCCAATTACTCAGGCCAAACCTGGGACTAACCCATGAACCCTCACTTCCTTCCACCCCTGAATCCTAACCATTAGGCAACCCTGTGGGCTCTCCCTTCTGATGGATTCAAAATCTGACCAATTTTCACTAACAGTCTCCTCCCTGGTTTCCTTACTTCCCCCACTCCCTCTACTCCTGGTATCTTAATGGAAACCAGGGAGACCATTACAACCCGAGTCAGGTCCCAGCACCCTGGGCTCAGAGCCGTCCTCACTCAGAGTCAAAGCCAAGTCCCTACAGTGCCTGGAGACCCACACTCAGTGCTCTCTCTGACCCCCACTGCTCTTCTCTCCAGCCCCACGACCCCTGCTTCTCCCCAAAGATGTCAGGCGCACACCTGCTAAGGACTCTGCACTGGCTGTTCCTCTGCTGGCAAAGCTCTTCCCGATATCCACGTGATTAACTCCTCAAAAGTCACCTTCCAGTGAGGGCTGTCCTGGTCAACCTATTTACAACTGTGACCCAGCCCAGCCAGTGTGGCTCAGTGGTTGAGCCTCAACCCATGCACCAAGAGGTTGCCGGTTCGATTCCTGGTCAGGGCACATGCCCAGGTCATGGGGCTGATCCCCAGCGGGGGCATGCAGGAGGTGGCCAATCCATGTTCTCTCTAATTGATGTTTCCATCTCTCTCTCCCTCTCCCTTCCTCTCTCTCTAAAAATTAATAAAATAAGTAAATAAATAAATAAATAGAACTGTGACCCAGCCTCCAACCCACAGAACCCTGGCTCCCCCCATGCTCGGCTTTTTTCTTCATGGCTCTTACCAGTCTCTGACATTATATATAACGTATTTATTATGTTTATTATCTATGAGCTGTCTCCACCTGAATGAAAGCTCCATGAGGGCAGGTGTCTTTGTTTCATCTACTAATTAATCACAAGTGCTTAGAATGGTGCTCACTTAAGCACATACTTGGTGTTGAAAAAGTTTTTGCAAGTGAATAATCTTGAATTGATTTTTAATTAAAAGCTCTTCTCTAAGTTAAAAATAACAGCCTCTTTAAGATGCTTTGTTTAAGTATCTATGAACAAGTGAGCAACTATGAATGAAAGGTACTTTTTTTAAAAAAAAAGAATAGTTTAGTGATTTTTAGAGAGAGGAAGAGAGAGAGAAACAGCGATGGGCTGCCTCCTGCATGCCTCTATTGGGGATGGAGCCCCGAAACCCCCACATGTGCCCTGACTCGGAATGGGATGGCAACCTTTCGGTGCTGGGACTACGCCCAACAAACTGAGCCTCAGCAGCCAGGGCACAATCCTTTTCCTGAGTATGTCCTGCCTGGGTCTAGGTTTGGGGGCTTTTCTCAGCAGAAGCAACTTGAGGATTACTCTTCCAGTCTGGACTCCTCCCATGGGCTCTTCCTTCCTTAACTCTCTCACACTATGACCCCAATTCTGTGAAGATGGCCTAACACACTGTAATCAATCACTTCACATACCTTTGTCAGCTAATGCTTTTACTTCTCAGTCAATACTTTGGCAGGGGTTATCTGACACTGAGTTCAAGGTAGGATGGAATAGACTCTCCCTGAGGGGAAGCAGGAATGTTTAAATTGGGCTTCATGGGAGACAGTAAAATGGCATGACCAACCAGTCCATGTCACAACTTTGTCTTGGGCTGGTTCTGGGCAGGCCATTCAAAGTCAATTTAGATGCCAAACAGGTTGGCAGGTGTTCATCCCAGTTCAAAGGTACCCAGGAAAGCCCTTGAAGCTATTCTAGAGCCCAGGAACCTGTGTGAGTATGTTTAATATTCCAAACAATCTATGTCTTCTGGCCCAGGAGCCCTGCCCTGAGCTGTCTATGGCTGGCCACAGAGAAAAGGCAGACACAGCTCAGTTCTCGCCCTGGGAGCCCACCTTGGTTTCCTCCTACCTGGCACTTCTTCTCCCACAGGATCTGCAGTGTCAGGCTCTCCACGCAGCAGGTCGAGCACAGCTTGTTTCCAAAGGCCTCCTGGATCTGGCGAACCAGGCGTTTGTGATGGGCCTCGTCCATGGCGTAGAAGTGGTTGAAATCCAGGAAGATAGTCTCTCGGGGGTGCTGTGCAAGAAATGAGTCAATCTCCATCAGCCCATCCCAGACCTTGATGCCAAAAAGGCCGTGGATGAAGTAGATCTCCTGGTCGGCATCCCCTGGCTTGGAGGACACACGCAGGTCGAAATAGCGGATCCCAGCTTCTAGCTGTTCTCGGAAGGTTAGGTTCTGAGTCACAGACCATTTCTTCATTAGCTTCTTCACCAAGGAGATCCTGGCGAGGCGCATGATAGCTGGGGTTTGGTCAGGCCCCACTGGAGACTTCTCATCTACCCAGTAGCTGAATGAGTCATGGGAGCCTACACAAAGGAATAAAGTTGAGGAAAGTAGTTGAGACTGGACCTGGCAAAAATAAGCCAATCGACAGGAAAACAAATAAATATTAGGAGCCAAATACATACCAAAAATTGTAAACATATATTTGCAAACTATTTTCCAGCTTGCTAAGAATGAAGTAAGAACAAATAAAAGTAATGTCTTTTTAGCAGCTTGTTAAGCCTGGGGTAAAATTATAATCCTCATATATTGCTAGTGTAAGGCAAATTAATAAATACCCTTTTGGAAAGCTATTTAGAAATATGTTTGGAAAAAGGAGCTTGACAATATTCATACCATTTGATCTAGTAATTTCATTTCAGGACAGCTATTTTGAGGAAATAAACTACTTTTGGAAAAACAAATGTTTGCTGAAGAATATTCTGAACAGAGACAAACTGGTGGGTGGTTGAGTGTCCCCCCAGAAGCATGCTGAATGGTGGCATGTCCATTCATGCAGCCACTGAATCCGAGGGTATAAAAACTCGGCATTGATCTTAGTAATGCTGGGATAAACATCTAAATTCTAGGAAAGGCAGAATCAAAAAAACAAAACAAAACAAAAACAAAAACAAAAACAATGCTGCCCTGATCGGTTTGCTCAGTGGTTATAGCATCAGCCCACGAACCAGAGAGTCCCAGGTTCGGTTCCTGCTAAGGGCACGTACCTTGGTTGCAGTTTGTCGCCAGCCCCAGTTGGGGTCGTGTGGGTGGCAGCCACTCGATGTGTCTGTCTCACATCAATGTTTCTCTCTCTTCCTCCCTCTCTCCTGCTCTATCTGAAGATAAATGCAAAAATGTCCTTGGGTAAGGATAAAAAAACCAAAAAACAATGCTGACTTATTTTTATGGTTCTGTAAATACGATGTTACTATTGTAAATGAGTCCACAGGGGACATCTCATGGAGGCAGCGGTGGCAGCAGCTGTTGTTCGAGTTTCTGTCTGCTGCCCAAGGACGACTAGAAGAAGAAAGATGCTGGAAAGTCGCTGAGAAAGACAAAAACGCAATGAACAAACCTGGGGCAAGGCCAAAAAGAAGAAGCCAAAGGCAAATTTTGGGACAAGCTCAATAACCTAGTCTTTTTTGACAAAGTAACATATGACAAACTCTGTAAGAAGTTCCCAGCCACCAACTTATCACCCAGCTGTAGCCTCTGAGCCTGAGGAGCCTGGTTCCCTGCCAGTGCAGCCCTTCGGGAGCGCCTTAGTAAGGGACTTATTAAACTGATTTCAGAGCACAGAGCTCAAGTACTTTATACCAGAAACACCAAAGGTGGGGGAGCCCCAGCTGCTGGTGAAGCCACATGAAATACAGGTCCCACCAGCTGTATATTTTGAAAAATAATACTTTATGAAATTAAAACAAAATAAGTCCATAAGAATGATTTCTTGACAGATCTGATAAACACTGTGAAAAGTTCAACACAGGTTAGTTATATGGCCTCTTTGCAACTCATCTCTGAATGAGTCGAATCTGCTTTTCAATGATCAAATGCATGTTTCCTTTGTCTGCCTTAAAAACAGGAGGGTAGGTTTCCTCTTAGACCCTCCGATGATCTTATCGTTATAAAGTCAAAGTGACCATGACAGACACATTTCTAACTATAGAGGAGGGAAACTACTTCTAGGGTGAAGTTATCTTTAACAGATAGCTTTCAGTTTGTCAGTGGTTTCATCTAGTGCCGGCCTTCACTATTTGGTGAGCTCTGTCGTGGGCTCTGTCCTGGGGACTCGCACAGGTTGGCTGTGCTTTGCGAGCCAAGTCAAGGAGGAAAATGCCCTCCTGATACTACTAACCTCGTTCTTAACCACTGCCATATTAGAATTAAAATGCTTAATTCATACTAGTTGATTGTCACTATATATTCATTTTACTAAATCTCAGCATATGCATTTCATATATAATATAGAAAGTTACAAAATACTGCTTATGTTTTATTATTTTAATTTTCTTGAAAAAATCAATCATTCTGGGATGGATTTACTATTTTATCTTTTCAGTAACAAAAGAAAAAAAAGTGACAAGCAATGCTTTATTTTTATATAGTCTCTAGAACATGGAGAATATTCAGTAACTATTAAGAAAAAATATATTTACCAATCATTAGGCAAAACCAATTTTGCAAGCAAGAAATTACTAGCATATTTCAGGTAAAAAAAAATGCTGTCGCTACTAGAAATGTGGAGCAAGTCCCGCTAGGTTTCCCATATTGGTTGTTGCTGTTAATGAGACTCGCTGGATACTGGCTAATGCTCTGCTTCGTCTGGCTGCACAGAAGCAGGACACTTTTATGCCTCCTCATTGAGAGGTTTATTATGAATACATTACATGTACATGGTGAACAGCCAGTTCGCTCTTCTCTTTAAATCCCATCAGCAGCCCAGCAGCCCAGGATTGGGTGTGCAAGGCAGTGTAGGCACCCCTGAACCTCCTTCTCCCCGGGTATCAGGAAACAGCCATTTTCCAAGCACGGGAGGACAGACGAATGCCCTCTGGAACTGTCGCTGCTGAGCCCAGTTTCATTTCCAGAGGGAGATGTGCTAACAACCTCCAGTGCTTTTCTCCGTCTGAGGACTGTGCAGCAATGTGACAGCGAGGGGTCCTCAGGGACCATCTCTGCATGCACACGGCCACACGGCACCCGGCCCACCCCACAGACGAGGGAGGGCCGGCACATTCCCCCGAACACTCACCCTTCATCTCCCTGTGCTCCCTTTCCCAGTCCCTCTTCCTTTCTGACGTCCTGTGTCCAGAGCCTCCCCTCCCTCCCCTTGACAGGAAAGGACAGGACAAGGCAGCAGACTGTCTGCTGCATGTTATACAGCAGTTGTCCTGTCCAGGCCGATGGTGGTCAAACCAGACCGCTCTTTGCCCCTACCAAACATTTTTGCCTTTCTACTTATTTTTTCCCCAGGAAGCTTTTGCCTCATATAGAGCAAGTGACATAACATTGGTACCTAACTCTATTTAACTATTTCTTTTATGAAAAACATGATAAAATGCCCTCCTCTCTCCTGCACATACACTATTGACAAGGTATGAAATCTGCAGATAGCGATAAAAAGAAAATCCTAGTATTTCACACCTCAAGTTCTTTATCAAAGTTTCCTCTTTTCCCACACCAAATGCGAGTTATTTTACTCTTTAAAGAATGTCCATGGTGAGGGCTCCTTTTCTCTCTGCCCAGGATGTGTGGATTCACTTTCTGCATTCCCCCAGAAAAGGAAAAGAAAACCCTCTGCCCTCATGTCTCCTTTATTCTCAAGACAATGGCTGCATGGGGATGGTTAGACGTAGCAGCGCCATGATTTCTGGTTTGTTTTATAAGGTCAGAAAACAGCTTAGGACGTCTTCCTGCTGCGACTCCTGCCACAGCTGTACCTGTGCATCTTCACTCTCCCTGTCTTTGGCTCCTTTATCTCTATCTAAAACCGATTTGAGTGGCATCCTCTTTCTTAAGAACAAAGCAAAGCACCTTCCCTTACCTGCCTTACCCCTTCAACTGACTGTCTTCTCCTCCTTGCTGTCAAATTCTTGAAAGCCAGTCCTTCTGCATGGTCTCCTAAGATCTACTCCCTTCATCCCATCCACGGCCACCCCTTATCCTTCTATTGCTCTTTTGATCCTTATAACCTTCGAGTCAACAGCTCCAAATGGCTTTATTCTTCCTGGTTTCTCTGAGTGTTTGCTAAGTCAGCTCTTTTTGGGAACCTTCCAGTCCCTTGTCTTCCATGATGCATACTTTGAGGTGTTCCCATCCTTCTCTTACCACTCTCTTTCTGTCTCCTTTGCTGGCTCCTCGTCCTCCTTCTTGTCCTTGAATTTAAATGTTTTCCAAGGATCTCTATTCTGCCTTTTCCCACCTTTTCTTCCACTCCCCAAGTCTACCATAGTGCCATTATATAGGCAACACCAAAAACTTCATCCCTAACCCAGATTCTTCAAAGTTCCAAATTTTTTTCCAACTTCCTGCTGTGGTCTTCCACCTGATGACCTCTTCACACAATAAATTACACATTTTGAAAGTCCAGGTACTCAGGCTGTCCCTCGCTCCACCACAAAGTGCTTCTCCTGAATTTCTGCCAATAATTCACTCAGCCATTCAGATTAAAGCCTTGGATTCTATTTAAATTCTTCCTTCTTCCTCACCCTCTGCTTCCAACCAGTTGCCAACATTTTGCATCTGACTTCCGCAACATACATCAAACCTGTCTCTTCCTTTAATCTTCAATTGCCACTTCTCACTCAGAAATTCAATACCCATCATATGATCAAGTCCAAAAGAACCCCGATTTTGTCCTTTCACCCCAGCCTCAGTTTGCTCATATCCAAAAGTTAATCATCTGAAGATACTTCTGATTATGTCATTTTCCTCTTCCCGCTTCCCTCCCAAACCAGGTTTAAACTCTGAACACTGGTGTTTAGGACTCTCCTCAATGTGGCTCCAGTGCGCTTTAGACTCATTTCTTACCAGGCCCTACATGAAGCCTGGCATCTGTTGGTGTGCAATATACATGGATAGGCATGCCTCTTCCAGGACTCTTCACTTTCTTCGGCTGATAACTTCCACACAATATTCTCTTACCCCAACTCTATCCACATCTCTCTCCAGCATTTATAACCCATATCAGACAAGCTGCTTACCCCTCTCTCAGTTTTCTCATCTGTAATATGAGCACGATAGTGCCTACTGCAAAATTGTGAGTATTAGCATGTATGCAAAGTGCTTGGGACAGAGCTGACACTCAGTAACCTGAACTGTTGTTACTGCTGTTATTGTTCATCCCTGTCAGTGAGAAGCCAGAGGGAGGAAGGTGATGAACTGAAACTCCTTATCTTAAACACTTAAGGTCTGGAAGACTTTCTTTCCTGAAGTGCTGTCCCTCTCCACCTTGCTGGGTGACAAGGCATGGAGGTGACAGCTTAGCCTCTACTTTGTTGACTGTAGCTGCCTCTCACTACCCTGATCATAGGCTGAGCTT